CAAATTTATAAATGAAATAGTCGGGACTCATTTCGAAGCAGTCCATGCTTCAAAAGAAAGTAAACCCAACAATCCAGTCCACTACCAGGTACAAGAATGTTTCAGAAAGTTTTTGGAAATGAAAACTTTATTCGACAGCACTCGAGCGACCAAAACAAACTTCAATACCAACAAAATAGCCAATAATTTAAATGACGACCAAACGGAAAACTTTTTTGTTAGTTCAAACGACCTTACAGACGTATTCTCTAAACTAAAAGGTAAACTATCATCCGGCTTAGATCAAATACCCAATATCATTCTAAAAAATTTCTCCCCAGAAATAATATTAGAATATTGCACTTTATTCAATAATATGTTAAACAATGCCTACTTCCCACCTAATTGGAAAACAGCTAAACTAATTGTTATACCAAAGAAAGATAAGGACAAAAATAACTTGAAAAACCTTCGGCCAATTAGCTTGCTACCAAATATTAGTAAAGTTTTTGAAGTTTTGGTTAACATAAATATAAATAAAGTTACTAAAACCAACAACTTAATTAGCCCTAAGCAATTCGGGTTCAAACACAGGCATTCGACTATACATGCCATTAATCTTCTCGTCTCCGAAATAAGCTGGAACTGGAATAAGAAATATGTCACAGGTGCATGTTTCTTTGACCTTGAGAAAGCATTCGATCAAGTATGGATCGAAAGGTTAATATGTAAGCTCATCAGCTATAAATTCCCTCTCCATCTGATTATACTTATTTATAACATGATATCCGGCAAAAAATTTTCTGTTCATATAAATAATATAAAAAGCAGTCGCGAATTTCACGTAGTAAATGGTCTGCAACAAGGGACAGTAAATGCTCCAATTCTGTTTAATCTTTTCATCCTCGACTTAGTACAAAAAATGGACAACATTGTAGCCTTCGCTGACGACATTGTCATTTACCACTCCGACAGAACGATCGACAGTGTTAATAAGAACCTGCAACTCAAATACAATACTGTTGAGAATTATACAATAAACTGGCATCTGAAAATAAATATTAACAAATGCGAAAGTATCCTTTTTCGCCCTCCCGTTAATAAATGTAACTCAAACGTTAAAAAAAAATGGAAGGAGTTTAATATAAAATCCAGTGTAGCAAATATCCAAATACAGCGCAAGGAGAGAATTAAATATCTTGGTATTCACCTCGATAAGTTTTTATATTTTAATGATCATATCAACATACAAATCCTAAAAACAAATAGAGCCCTTTATACTTATAAAAAAATGTTTTCTTCAAAACTGCTATATAACAGGCTTAAAATTATCATGTATCAATCACTAGTGAGACCAATACTTTCATATGGATGTTCAATTTGGTTTAATATCTCTCCTTCATACATGGAAAGACTCAGAAGATTCGAGAGAAGAATTCTCCGATCATGCACATCACTGCATAGGTCACAGAATAGTAATTTTACCAAATTTATATCTAACTCTAAACTATACGACACGGCAAAAGTTCCCAGAATTGATTGTCACATCATAAATCTAATTAGAAAGCATATAAGTCGCTGCCTATATGATGACAATAACTCTTTAATAAGAGCTCCTTTTTACGAAAGTGATGACTACTTTGCATTAGCTATTGCAAACGGATTTGCACCACCAGAATCCTTTCTCTACTTGGACAAAAATGGTTTCATCGAAAACGAAGACAACATCCCAATAATATATCACATATTTAGAAGAGCTAACAACAAAGTAGTCACTTCAAAAATACTCACTGCTGAAAATAAACGATTCGACACATACATCTCGTTTAGAGACAAAACTGAAACCACTTTGACGAAACAGAACTGCTGGTGGCTATTAAATGATAATGATAACTAATTCACTCTTGACGCAACTGGTCTGATTTCTTGTTCTTCTTTTAACCATTTTATATTATAAAATCATTTATGCATCGTTTTTTTTTACTTTTTCCTTGCAAGCAAATACAAGCATATACTATATATCTACTAAGTTAAGATATAAATAATATCATTAGTTAATAAAATGTTACTAATTATTGATAGCGAAGTACTCGAGAGCTCGTCTAGAGACACTGTACGTATATATTATCGTTATACTATTGTTTATTGTAGTAATTAAGTTTATTCATTTTATTCAAATAAACAAATATACCAAAAAAAAAAAAAAAAAAGCAAACATAAATCGTCGATCTAGAAGTCGAAGCAGGAACCGTGCTCCGTCACGCTCCGGCACGCAAAACAACAGCTTGAGCGAGTTGTGCTGGTACCACCTAAATTTTGGTAACGAAGCTAAAAGATGTCGCAGCCCCTGAACAAGAAAGTTAAACTAATTTGTCTGTCGTCAATGGCGGTCGACGACAGGCTCAACAACTCAAACCGCCGCGTAATAGTTCGAGATAAGGTATCTGCAATGAAATTTCTCATTGACACGGGAGCCGAAGTCAGCGTAATTCCACCGACACAACAACAACGTAGACATCCTGACAAAAGTATCTAGTATCCAGTAGTATTGAATTTGCTGAGAGAAATCAAAGAGATCACGATAGAAAATTTCACGACCGATAACCACAACACCTGGTCACACATCACATCGTCACCAAAGGGTCACCTGTTTTCTCCAAACCGAGACGCTTATCAGCTGAGAACTAAAAGCAGCAAAAACTGAGATACAATTCATGCTAGATGCAGGCATTTGTCGTCTATGGCCAGCCTATTACACATGGCGAAAATGAAAAACGGCTAGTGGAGGCCATGCGGGGATTTCAGGCGAGTAACGTTGTCACCGAACCTGACAGGTACCCCTTCCACACTTGCACGACTTCACGCACTCTTTGCATGGTTACAGAATTTTTTCCAGACTCGATCTGCGCCGGGCATACCACCAGATTCCTGTCGAACCCACCGATATACCAAACAGCAATCACCACACCATTTGGCATGTTTGAATTGCCTTTCATGTGCTTTGGTTGCAGAAATGCCAGTCAAACGTTCCAAAGATTCATGGATCACGTCTTCCGCGAATACGATTTCGCCTGACATTTTGATATCGGAACCAACATCGTCAACATCTGCAATTAGTGTTCATAAACAGCGCGAGTAAGGTTTGGTCATCAACCATTCGAAGTGTATACTAGGCCAGCCGGAAGTGAATTTCTTAGGTTTCAAGATAAACAGCAGCGAAATCTCACCACCAGTCACTTTATTCAAACTCGTGAAAGGTAACAAGAAAAACGACACATCAACAGTAGAATGGACGGACGAAGAAGAAGAGGCATTCCAGCTGTGTAAAAACGATTTATGTAAAGCAACTTTACTCGCCTATCCTAAACCCGGGGCTCAACTCAGTTTGACAGTGGATACTTCTGGAACTAATGTAGGTGTGGTATTACAACAACATGACAACGACCAGTGGCAACCACTAGGTTTTTATTCCGAACGCCTTACTGAAACACAAACAAGATACAATACTTACGATTGTGAACTGATAGCCGCGTACAAAGCAGTCAAATATTTTCAACATATGCTGGAAGGCAGAGAATTTATCAACCAAAAAAGCAAAAGCTAGATAAAACATCACTGCGTCAAATGCGCCATTCTGAATTTATCGCACAATTTACAACAGACATTCGATAGATCCCCGGAAAAGACAACATAATAGCAGATACAATGTCACGCATTGACGTCATACATACTGCAAACACCATCGACTTCGTCAAACTTGCAAAGACTCAAAAATTTGACTCAGAGTTTAAAGAATTACTAAATTCGAATTCCAGCTTACAAACTCAGATGGTGATGTAAGATCGCAGAGAAGTACGTGTGGCCTGGTCTTCGAAAAGATTGCCGCTTATGGTCCAGGCAGTGCATTCTATGCCAAAGAGTCAAAATACAACGCCACCACAGAGCACCCCTATCAATATTCATTTTACCGGATCAACGATTTCACCACATCAACATGGATATCGTCGGACCATTACCACCTTGCAAGGGATATCGATACTGCTTGACAATAGTCGATCGTTATTCCCGATGATTGGAGGCATACCCGCTCGAAGATATGACGACAGAAACAATTGCTTTTAATATCTACACACATTGTATCGCGAGACTTGGAGTACCGACAAGAGTAACAACCGACCAATGAAGATAATAATTTGAATATGCACTTTTCCGAGACCTTGCCAGAATTTTAGGCATAAAATACTTACGTACCACCCAGCGTCAAATGGGCTCATCGAGCGACGGCATATATCCTTGAAATCAGCGATAAAATGCCACATGATGGACAAGTGAGTCGAAGTTCTCCCACTAAGTCTTTTAGGCTTTCGTTCCGTATGGTGAGATGACTTAAAATTACACCCGCGGAAATGGTTTACGGCAAAACTCTTCGACTACCTGGTCAGCTATTTTCCAAAGATCACACGCACAACGTCACCAAAGGTGAATTTGCCGGATATTTACGCATACGCATGCAGGCATTGAGACCTTCACCAACAACAAATAACTCAGCTCATGCACCATTCGTGGAAAGGAATCTGCACACAACACCATCAGTTTTCGTGCGCAATGACGCAATTCACCATCCGCTTCAACCACGGTACGAGGGACCATTTCCAGTAGTCGAACGCAACGACAAGTTTTTCCAAGTCAAAATCCGAGGAAAAGACGTGAACATCTCCATAGACCGTTTAAAACCAGCCTTCGTCGCCGAGGATAGCCAAAATCCGTCGAATCAAACAACTCATCCAAAAGAGTACCAGAAAAAATTGGGACGACGAGTACGTTGTCGCTTTCCCGCATAAGGAGGAGTGATGTGGCAATCACAAATGCAACTCTGCAATACTATCTGTCATGCTGTTAAACCCGTAATCACATAATTCGAACATTGTTGTGGACATCCCACAACTGTATAATATTAAAACTTTATAATTTAAACTTTTAAAGTGGTTTTCGCTCTTTTTTCTTATTTATTTCATATTCACCTTTCTCAGGTAATAGATTCGTAAATGCGTCATCCCGAATATCCTCAAGCAACTCCTCATGATTTTTCATCTCTACGGCGGATATGGCAAGAAAGCAGCGATAAATTGACACCAGTAAAGTCATGACCCCATCGCCATAAATTGCGCAAAGACATCATATGTAATAGAAGAAGAGTCCAAGTTGGTAGCAGCGTAGTTGAGGTGCAATACGTATATTTTGGTTGTCACAAGCAGATTTATCAGATTATTGTTCGATCAGTGAATGAAAATAAAGCAAATAGAACACAAAATTAATTAGTGAAAATAGTAGACAAGTATATTTGTATAAGTAAATGGATCTAACTTTTGCGCAAGCTAACGGGGTACGATTTCAGGTAATCAATTTTCCAGAGGCTAGGAATGGAAGTGTTAAGACATACTGGAATGGATATTTCCTTCTTAATGGTAATATTTTCTCTATTTTAGAATTTATTAAATTTATTTTCTATCAAGCCTATATTAAATAAATATTATTTATGTGTATAACAGCCGTTCTCATCTTATTCTCAAAACAATTATTAAAGAAAAATTGTATTATTTTCTTTGCAATCCCCTAAAAGCTATAAAAATATATACTTGTACTTCATCGAAGTAAAATTGTCTAGGGCGTAAGCGACCATACATTTCATGTCTCAGATATTTGTAAATGAATCAACAAGTCATCCTAAACAAAAAACACCAAGGTTATAAAAAATTTCCTAAAATCCCATATAAAATATAAGGCAAGAAACATGTTTAAAATCACACAATATAAGCAAAACAAAGAATTTCAAAAGTGTGTATTGTGTATTTGGTACCTAAGGAACTTAGTGACAACAAGTCCCACACAATCAGTTAAAACACAACTAAACAAAGCTCTTCGCTCAGGATAAGCTGGTCAGTCGGCGAGTCTATTTAACAAGCGTCAAGAGATTTCCAAAGACACTCTGACTCGTGTCTAAATGTGTGCAAAAGTAAATAGGTTTGGGTGTATTAACATTTGTGCCAACTCATGACATTGCTTATACGGACAATGCAGACGACCAGGCTACACAATAATGTTTATATGCCATGTACCATGTATATATCTACGAAGCAAATGAAATTATCATATATTCTAGTTGTAATGTGCATATATACACAGTTATACATTAGTAACGAGTATATAATTGCATGATAAATTTGTTCCGTTATTTCCAATGCCTTAAACAAATTTTTGCTTTTGCCCTGCAAAAAAAGATACAATGTAAAAAGGCTTCTTAAAAGTTATATGCAATTAAAGTTATGTATTTAAAAGTCAGCAGTTTGGAATATGCAAAAAATTAAAACTTTTTTTTTTTCGAAATTTCACACTAACTATACTTTCTAAAATTCCCCTACAATACTCCGATATAAGAAAGTTGAGTTCAGTGCAAGTTAAAAAATTCAAATTGAATTACGATTTTCTATGTAAGATTTCTCAGTAGGTCTCTTTTTATCTGGCTAGTTTAGTAAAGAGAACATAATTGTCATAAAACTGACTTCAATGCCCTCTATTGGGTAGGGGTTTTTATTACGAGATTTTAAACCTCCAGCTTCGTTACAAACACATCGGGTTAGGAATACAGCTTACCAAATTTTCCATGCTTTAACTCACTGCCACTCACAGCTGTTGTAAACACGCACCAGCCGTAAAAGTACACATACATATATATAGCAACAACACTAGTCGAGATTGTTGCATTGCACCATTCAACTGTTGTCGTGTTATGGAAAATAAACAAAATAAACGTACCATACACAACTAAGTGAAGCATATGCACAGATCCAAATTTCCGTTTGTCTAAAGACTGATGCTTTTAGTATCCTCGTTGCTCTATTTTCATTCGTTGTTTTGGTTAAGTGGCAGACAATAAATTTGATATGCATATATTACATAGATGAATGCAAGCGAGGCATAGCGTTCTCTAAAGCGTCTAAACACACTCCTGATTTTACCATAAAGTAACAGCGTCTTCTTCAGTCAAAAATAGTGCAACATCAAGCAACAGCTGAGTAGTAAAGCAAAGTTGTGCACTGAAAGTGAGTGCATATGGTTTGTTTACATTAAGGCGTGCCGAGAAATGAAATGATGCCACTAAGTGAAAATTGTGTGAAAATTTTGATAACTGATATACGACTTCGCCAGAAAAATTGGTTGGAGCTAAAAAATTTTAAGAAAACTTTTTTATTGATGCCCTTTGAAGCATTTGTCGGAAAATATTTCAGTATAACTCCAGTTACACTTATTATTATTATTCAGCTATTGACTTTCATACATAGCTATTATATTTTTTGAATTTTTTTCGTCTATGGGCAACGGTGAACTAAAATGGATGAATTTTGATATATATACTACTCAGTATTCAAAATTAATATACTTAATATATATAAATGATCCGCTAACAGCACATTTTATAATCGGAACAAAACCTACTTATTTATACACAGTACCATTGGACCTTTATACTTACAATCATACAATTCATTATAAGGCTTTGCACTTTACAGATAACCCTGATTAATAAGAATTATACGTTTCAGAATGACCATATACAATAATTGAAGCTATGGGCTTATTAAGTAGCATAAATGTCAGTGAGCATACATTTTTATAGCATAGTAGGTGCTCTCTCTGGTAATCCCTGGTCTCTCAATAAGTAAGTGGACTCTACATATACTTCCGCTTCAGAAAACAAGACCAAATATCGAACCGTTGTCAAGGCCTTTAATTTTTACTTAATGTTTATGCTCTCACAATATGATGATAAAAAGTATTGTTTTGTTCGAGATAGACTTGGAGTTATATATATATATATATAAATGATTTGGGAGACGACTCGAGTGGAATTGCGAGTAACTGTCTGCCGTTTGGTCGTCAGTCCATGCAATCTGTACACATGTTATTTGGTATCATAGGAAAATTGGTATTGTACAAGGGCGTAAACAGACCACTACTCCCATAAAATGCAATTCATCTTAAACCTATAAAGGACTAGTTAAGCTCCAAATTACACAAAACTATAATTTGGTACAAAAGATCACTGTATTGAGGAGATCTGTAGACCTAAAATTTTTAAAGAGTGGATATATCGTCTAATTGCTTTGGTGTTATGGTAACAGTTATCCATAGCGTATACGTAACTTGCAACTATGCGAAGGTTTTGTTTCAAAATAATATCTGAACACAAAAAATGCAAGAAGAAGCATTGGTATATAAAGGTACAAACTTATAAATGGTAGGCAAAAAATTTGTAAAATATATATATAGAGCTACCAAATGACATGTATGCGACTCCAAGTATAATTCTACACGGTAATAAATGTGTAATTATTTTCGTGCATATATTTCTTGATATATTGCTTCAAATATAGAAGTATAATTTGTTTTCATAAAAATACGTAACTGCTTACTCCTAAAAATGCCATACGTCTCTGTTAACATGTTTCGTTTTTGCAGTTTCGCATATCGATTTTTAATTAAACTCGCTTCTAGTTGAAAAACTATCTGCATCAGCCTTATCGACATATGAGATAAAAAATAAACTGTGCACCTAAATATACTTGAAATATATTGTAACTATAGTGAAATAATAAATAAAATGCGGACACTTTAGTCACTTTCCATGCTTTGTGTGTTTAAATATACACTATAACTGTGCCCATAAAAAATTAATATTTACTCTGCCAATGTAATAATAAGCTAAGTGGATAAACGTCCACAGTTAACCTTGAGTTGACCAAATTTAACAAGTAAATGCAGTTAGGTAGCTTCGGTTATTAATTTAAAACTGCAAGTATAAAAAACTAATGATCAGTGCTTTCCAGATACTCATATACATAGATCATATATTTTTTGGAAATTGAGTGCTCTACAAAATAGTATTTTACCTTTTTTCGTATACTTAACAGTTTAAAAGATAATAACGGTTAAATTTTGACTATTTTAAATTGTGTTTCAGTTTTTGATTAAGTTAAGCATTTAGGATCATCGTCAAACATCAATACCTATCAAAGGAAAGAGTTGATATCACATACATTGATCTTAATTGAGATGTTATTAATAGAATTCTAGCTGACATGAACTATAGTAAAGTCTTAGTTAATGGCCTTCGATATAAGTCAAGAAGATCCCACATTCCATTATAATTTATTCACGATTACTATAAATAATTAATGTTGAATTCTTTCGCATTATTGATAATACAAAATCATGCCAGCACTTAAATGAATTTCCCGGGATTTCAGCCTTCCAAGTTGCTAGATATAAAGTATTCAGTTACAACCGAACTTCCTTACTTGTTTTTATTTAAAAATGGTTTTCATACAAAGTATGCTCTAAAAATAGCAGTACTGTTAGGAATCATAATAAAAAAATTTACATTGTATTATCTTCTATAATTTATTCAAAATACGTTCCGGAATCAAGTATATGTATTGGAAACTTTTTTATTTAACGTAATATCTTCACGAAATTAGGCACGAGTTAATGTTTAAGGCAATAATGTATTCCCCAAATAAATTGTTCATATCAGAACACTATATCATATAGGTGCCATACATATCGAACGATCGGAATCAAGCTTTTGTAAGAAACATTTGTATTTATGAAGGGTATTATAGCTTAGGGGCAACCGAAGTTAACGTTTTTTCTTGTTTTTATCTTATTAATAGGACTATTGTTCATAAAGCCGGTTACAGCTAATTGAGTGGTTGGTATATCATCAAAAAATGCTCCCTTCATGTTGAATTTCAGTTTTGGGAATAGAAAATAGTTACATGGTGTTGGATCCGGAGAATAAGGATTTCTGTGTGGTTGATGAGAGAAATCCGTTTTTTCGTCTAAAACTCGTTCACTTTTTTTGTCTTCATTTAACTTATGTGGTGTATTTTCTTTTGCCCACATCTTCTGCTAAAAAAATTGGCATATCTATTTTTGTGTGTGTCGTCAACTGGTCGAAAGTCAGAGCTACGCAATCCCTTCAAGCTATTGATTCTTTGAGATATAAATATGAAAAAGTAGGTGAATACAAATTCGTGAGTAAATACACAAAACAGTTGCTACTAAAGTATTGGAGAAGTTTGTATCAAGTTCACTTAATTCAGTATTTGTTTAAGAAAGCGAGGATGTACAATAGTTTGTCAAGCGTATATATTTTTTGGCGCAAAAAATCACATTATCACACTTGGATTGATATATATGGAAACAGTGAATAACTTTGACATTTAATAAAGTTATCCCTTTAGTTGGTTAGCCTGTTTAAAATCGAATCGGTTTTTTTATAACCAGGAATGCCTTCCTACCGAAACAACGCGCCAAATAGCGAGGCTTTGAGAAATAAAAGTTTTGTCAGAAGTTCGCGCTAAAATGGTCATTGGCAATGTAAACAATATTCGGAAACTAGATTGTTGGATGTTGGTTTATGGTATTATCACCCTCACCAAATTTTTCTCATATATGGTGGTCATATTTTCACAGTTGCTGATTCAAATAACATGTCTGGTCCTATGATACATCAAACCATTGTATGTGTTTTTTTTTTTAATAAAAATCTTAACTTAGTTTGCTCCAAGGCTATAATATACTTCACAATTAAAGAAGATCCCATACAAGAACTTGACTTTAATCGGTCAGTTCATAATGGCAACTATATGCTATAGTGACTCGATTTAAACAATTTTTGGGAAGATTGCACTGTTGCCTTGGAACATAATTAATGCCTAATTTCGTGAAGATACCATGTTAAATGAAAAAGTTTTTCATACAAGCACTTGATTAAGATCGTTCAGTTTGAATGGCTGCTATATGCTCTAGTTGTCTGATATCGGCGGTTTCGACAATTTTCACATCGATATTTCAAAATCTGAGGTAGTCTCTTGCCTATATACAAAAAGAAGGACGGACGGACTTGCGGACAGACGGACATGGCTAAATCGACTCAGGTGGTCATGATGATCATTTATATATATATTTTATAGAGTATCCGACGTTTCCTTCTGAAAGTTACAAACTTCTTGACAAATTTAATATACCCTGTTCAGGATATCAATATATAGTTGTAAATATTTGGTAGCTTACATACCGCCTTAACAAATGGAGCATTCTATATATATTTATATTTCGAAGTTTTTCAACAAATAATATCTTGTGTTTTCGTTTTTTTAGTCTTGAGATACAAAGTTTAGTTTCGCTGCCCTGCCACCACTTATAGAAACCTGGGAAATTCACTGATTATATTTACGCCATTGTGCAGTGGCCAGCCAACTAGTCACTTTGACAGACCATTGAATATGCAGTGAAACGTTTGTGCAACAAAAGCTGAAATAAATTTTAATTTTATTCAACCGCCGCTCAGTAAATTTTCATACGCGCGCAGAAAAAAGGCTAAACACATTATCTTACACAAGGGCAACGAAATGCATAGTCCGCAAAGCGCGGTCTACTTTTTTATTATTTGGCAACCATTTTATGCACATGCATATGTACGTAATTAACACGTATATATACATACATATGTGCTGACTATAATGTCCTGTGGTATGTCTACAACAAAATTTGAGAGTGTAATCATTTCATTGTTACTTTTTTGCTTCCGCACAGCAATTCGTCTGCGCAGTCTAGTGGATTAATTGTAATTAGGTTACAGGTGCTTGTGGAGATAGCAGAAATTGGAAAAGAAAAATGCAAATTAGAAAAACGTCGTGTGAAAAAGTAGATTTTTAGTGAAGACTATAGGAAAATGTTTCGGTGGAATACTTTCCGTTTCATCTGCGAGGCAAAGCAACATTAACGTGCTTTAGAGATAAGACATTTAGAAATGTGTGATTAATGGGTATTCTTAGAAGTGTTTGCAAGTAATATTTATTTTTAAAGCAAACAGGAATTTTATTTACTTCATGAATTAGCCTATATTTTGCTGCTATAATTATATGCTACATAACGTGATTAAAAATTTGTTTCTTGAGCCTTCAACTCCAACTGATCGGACCTTTCCGACAATATTTGCTTTCTCATTGTTTACAAAATAATTTGAATAATACACTTAATGCCATTGTGTATGTACCTTTATGGCGCACATATGTAGATAAAACCGGAAAGGGTTTGGTAAACGTTACTAGCAGAATCAGAGAATATAAGTTTTTAAATGAAAATGTGTCTGAACATTCGGTAAACCAAGCACGCTTCGACATCATGTCGGATATTTTGGATAATTTACTCGCCAAACCAAACTCTGGCGATATTTGCTCTGTCCATATACCTGCGATGGAGATGTGGGTGGGTAGTAGGTAGGGTCAAAGTTTCGGGGAAGGTTGGTCGAGGGGTATATGCTCAGCAACTCTCTCTCAACTTCAGTTTCAGGCTTGCTGACTTCTATACACTAACCGTGCTTTCAAGGCTGGTTATGGAATGCCTTCTACCTTTGTTATCGATGCCATTGAGCCACTTTGTGATAAGACTAGAATGGATGTAAGGCCACAACCGAATCGCAGGTAACTGCAATGCTAATGAGCGGAATGAGAGGCACGGTAGAATGGGAACGGGTCGGTGCTCCACACTCTTCGTGCGTACTACTACCGGGTAGCTGGGCTTCAAAGGAGCTTGGCCAGCGCTAGGCTACCATCGGTTCTTGTGTTGTCGCAAAATCCTTTTGACTCCAAGTTGATTGCAAGAGCTTCATTCAGCTCTTTTCTCTCAGTAAAGCTAGTCTCTCCTATATTCTGGGTGTAGTAACAGGATATTGCCCTATAAGCGTTCACCATGTAATATTGAGCCTTTAGATTTCCCAGTCTTTGCGAGATAAACCTTTAAATACTTGGAAGCTTACACTTTCGCACTTCACAAGTGCGATCACCGTCGTAAGGATCAGCCATCAAACTAAACCTAACCTTAAATTAATACTAAATTTGGGGTCACGAGTACATACTATAGTGTTGGCTGACTGCAAGTTTTCAGTCATTAAGTTTCCATAGATATATACAAGTAAGTCAGTGGATAGTAAAAAGTTAGTTATATTGCTTTCAGATCATCACAGTTTTGATTGCCCTAATACCACGTTTAGGACCAATTTATAATTTATGTTGTGTAGAAACTAACTTACCAAAATGATGAGCGATATGATCGCGCTCTTCTGATTCCACTGGCATACCACTAGCGCCACCTTCCTGATCAAGGCCATGCAGATGCATATTCATATTCTCCAAACTGCTACTTCTCACACCGCCGCCCCCACCAGCGTCGTGATAATGATTTTTGCCACGCATTTCGATAGTGAACGTACGTCCGATGGCGTCACCCGCTGTGATGGTCATATGCGAGCAGTAGGCAAGCGGCAGTAAACTACCACCAACATCTCCGCCCTCGCCAAGCCACGCCCAGAAGTTGGTAACACAAATTGCGATAATTAATAAAAAAAATTTTGGTATTTTACATATCCGTTTCATTTTCATTACGTGTGTCGACGGCGCTACAATCTTGGTAGTATTTATCATTGATGTTACTCTTGCTCTTCTCGCTATTTTCGCTATCGTTCTCGCCACTTTGGTGCGCATCGTTTGCGTTCAGAGCTGCGCAAAAACAGCCGTGCTCGTGCCGTTTAATTGTTTGCGTCGCTGCAGTTTTGTTTGCACTATTTTAGCGTTTGTTACGTTGCGTATTTAGCGAAGTTACAAAATTTCAATGATATTTGGAGCGTTAGTTTTATTATTGCCGTAAACGTTACAATTATTTGCATTTATTTACATACACTGAGTGCAATTCACTTGTCTGCTGCTTCGTTGTAGGCGAAAATGGTATGGAGAAGCAACTGTGGCGTTCGCTGAGCTAGAGCTGTTTTAGAGCTTTATTTTCGAATTACCGCAATAATAACAATTAGGTTGTGGTACATATGTTGTGGTACATGTGTATTTGTGTATGTATTTAGTCTTTTATCATCTTAGAACACTTTTCTAAATATATTCATCCAACGGTATATATAAAATATATACTGTTGCAGAAAAATAAACTTTTTTTCCGAATTTTGCAATTTTCAACATTTAGTAAATGTGCTATTATAATTTATTTTTTAAATGGCTTTAGTTTCTTATTTGTTGGTATGACATTTTTTTACGGAATTTGAAAACTCTTTTTAATTTTTGCAGAAAGTGTTTCACTCTTTTACTTTTTGTGTGATTTTATTTAACTTTCTCTGAATCTCTGATATATCCCGAAATCTGAAAGTAATCAAAGAAAGATATATCACATAAGTATAATCGTAAATGAACTTATTTAATATTGAATATAATATTTTTTTGTAACAATTGATTAGGTCTTATAACAATTACTCCTCTCAAGAGTATATTTAAGTGATTTTCAAATTTGACACATATTTTTGTATTAAAAAAATCTGATAGGGGAAAGAATGTTCTTTATATATTATTGGCAGCAATTTAACAACAATGGTGGTTGTAAATATGTTGTTAACGTTTTCCATACCTCTGGAATTTTATTAGTAAATGTACTTATGATGCCACACCAACCTCAGGACTAAATCATAATACTGTACTTTAATCTCACAGGACTCTTAATAGACAAATAGTGAACTTAAAAAAAAAACTGCTACCCATGCTATTCACGAAAATATTGAGTTTTGAATCTTTCTTCTACTCGGTCAAGATTGGTCACTGTGCTCATGACTGATTTTAACCTACATGACTACAATGAACAAGGAATATGGGCATTTGTCATTACTTATTTGCTTTCATAGTGTAAAATCATTCAGTTTGGACAATCATGATAATATAATCAGGTTACACAAAAGGAGCAAAGGAAACCACAATTAAATGATCACGAAATAAACAGTTGAAAATAGACAATGAATACAATAAGCGACAAAAGCTAGTAGAAACCACAGAGATCACTTTTATGTAGATAACAACAAAAGTGACAATGATTAAGTGGAAATATTTAAATTTGGTCATAGACTGACTTAGTTTTATTGCTATATTTTACTTTGCGTTAGCTAAACAGAGACATATTTGACATAAAATCAATCAAGGAGAAAATTTAATATATTGAGATGCTGTGCAAAACGCCAATAAGAGGATCGGAATTTTCTAAATGTAGTTTACACGAAAGCCTGCCCACTTAGTATCAATAAAATATTACACATTTTTATCAATCTAAACGGTTTAAAGATAGGTGGTTAGTTGGAAATCACTCTATACGGTATACTGGGGCAGAAAAGGTCTGGGATGATTGCACTACTCTGACATTACTCAGGTTTGCATGAGAAAGCACTTTTATAAATATATAACTGACACACTGAATGACGTATTCGGCATAAAGTTTGCTAGAATAATGAAAGTCATTATATTTAGTATTTGGGAGTGGGGGTAGTTCGTAGACACAATTTGATTCACATATAATATTATCGAAATTAAACTATAGTATGTCCAATATTATACGTTCAGTTAATTTTGCGAAGATATCTGGCATATTGGGAGGCATATATTAAAAGTTTCTCCCAGTATACATACAAACATACATATATGTACAAATGTATTTGTTCATGTATTCATGTTTTTTAAACACTAAACTACTAAAAGAAGGTATTTAAGTTGAGAAAGTTGCTTACCGACTAACTTTGCGGTAACTTATGTTCTTACCAATTTCGCAGTGGTTCTGAGCAGCGTTGGTATTTTGGTGGTTCGCTAAATTTTAAACTTTTCAAACTGTTAATATCAAGTCTGAATGCTTAGGCATAGTTTAAAGAGAGCACTGTAGTAGCTGGCATCCACGCCGAAGCGTTAGAAAAGGAACCGAGGCATTATGCTCACTTAGTTAGTTGCTTAATATTTTTTTTTAATACTTCTTGCTACGCTTCGAACTATTGTGAGAACTAGAAAGTATCATGAAATGCATTTACGAGTTCGCTGGTGTTGTGTTGTGAGTGCGTAAAATAAAAATTGTAGTGAGAGCGTAACACTGGGAGAAATTTCACCTGATTAAAATTGAGTAACATTTAAGGGGATCGTCAACATTTTTTATTTCAATGATTAAATCTTAAAAAGTTAAAATCTTCAGAACCGTGATACAAATTTCTTACTTATTGTTTATAATTCCAGTTATGACTAGACATACATATGCTTTTTTGATTAATTAATAATCAGACAAAATGGCAACGATTTTTAAAAAAACGCATGTTTGAACTTGTTATACCCTAAACAGAGTTTATTAAGTTTGTCACGATGCTTGTAACACTCAAAATTGAACGTCGGAGACCCTACAAAAATTTTAGGTAAAGTAAAAAGTTCGTTCGGTTTTTATCTAAGAGATGGCGTTATTGTCCATAGTATTAGTGTTACGTGTCGCATCATTTTATACTATACGGCGCTGAAAACGTGTTTATTCGCGTTAAAAGTTTGTCTTTGACAGTTTTTCGATTGATTTGTGAGCGTTCGTCAAAGATTGACACCAGCAAAGAGAAAATTCGCTATATTTTACAATTTTTCTTCGATCAAAGCGAAAAAGTAGCCAAAGCGACTGAAAAAATTAGTTTAGTTTATGGGATCGATACTGTAAACGAACGTGTAGCACAAAAGTGGTTTGCTAGGTTCCGTTCCGGTAATTTCGATGTCAAAGATGCACCACGCGTCGGGAGGCCTGTCGTCGAAAATTGCGATAAAATCAGGAAAATGGTGGAAACAGATCGTCACGTGAGCACTTATTTAATTGCTAAGGAACTAAAGATAAGCCAGAAAACCGTTTGGAACCATTTGCATAACCTTGGATTCAAAAAGGGGCTCGATGTTTGGGTGTCACACGAACTAACGCAAAAAACATGATGGACCGAATTTCCTTCTGCAAATCGATGCAGAATCGCAACAAAATCGACCCGTTTCTGAAGCGGATTGTGACTGGCGATGAAAAATGGGTCACTTATGACAACATCGAGCGCAAACGGAGGTGGTCAAAGCTCGAGGAAGCGGCCCAGATGGTGGCCAAGACCTGATTGACGGCCAGGAAGGTTTTGCTGTGTGTTTGGTGGGATGGGCAAGGAATCATCTACTGCGAGCTGCTCCCCTATGGCCAAACGCTCAATTCGGCGCTCTACTGCCAACAACTGGACCGCTTGAAGATAGCACTCATTCAGAAGAGGCCATCTTTGGTCAACAGAGGCCGAATTGTGTTCCATCAGGACAACGCCAGGCCACACAAGTCTTTGGTGACGCACCAGAAGTTCCGGGAGCTCGGGTGAGAGGTCCGAATGCACCCACCTTATAGTCCGGACCTGGCACCAAGTGATTACCATCTTTTCCTGTCCATGGCGAACGCGCTTAATGGGGAGAAGTTAGCCTCAAGAAAGGCCTGTGAAAATTGACTCTCCGAGTTTTTTACCAATAGGGACGCAGCCTTCTACGAGAGGGGTATAATGAAGTTGGCATCTCGTTGGCAACAAGTTTATGAACAAAACGGCACATATTTGACTTAAATCGGACAAATGCGCACAAAGTTCTTTTGAAAAATCGATAAAAAACCGAACGAGCTGGTTACTTTACCTAATATATAAATAAGTGATCAGCATGACGAGCTGAGACAATTTTGCCATGTCCGCATGTATGCCGGTTTGTCGATATATACGCGAACTACTCTCTGAGTTGAGATGTCGATCTGAAATTGTGGACCCCGTCTTTTGCTCATCAAGAAATTTCTGATCTCTCAAAACGGTTTCGGACAACTATAGCATATAGCAACTACACAGACCGTTTAAACTCGAGTCCTTGCATGGAAAACTGGTTTATATAGCAAGGCATCTTCATGAAATTTGGCATGGATTTTTGTCGAATGCATTGAAAGCGTGAAATATATTGTTCAGATCGTTCAAACTTATCTTTCAAAATTAAGATACAAATCTTTTCATACGCTTTTATGCTATAAGAAATGTATATATGGAGGGTTTTATGGGTATTTCCCTCTCTGTTCCGCTTACGTTAAAGTGAACATGCTATAAATTTAAGCCAGACGTCGTAGACTGTGTAGATATTTGGTATTTAACCAAGTAAATTCCGAGTAGTCGAAAATTTATAAATTATATACCAATTGAATTCCTAAAGTGTAATATTTTTAATGATTTCCTTTCCAAAAATTTAAAAATATGATTATTTGTTTGTATAATTTATAAAATACGAGAATGGATCAATTTGTTAAAGAACACGACATAGTTTCACTTCAATGGTTAATCAAGAGTAACTAAAATTCGTATTTAATTCTATATTTACATACACATATATTGTATTCACATAATATAGTTGTCTTACTCATACTAATCTACATTTCGAAGAAAGCCCTTCTAGGAAATATTTTTACTTGTACTTAAACTTTATAATTTCAACATTATTAAACACAAATATCATTATTGCGTCCTACGTGTCCTATTACAAATATCATAAATTTTACTTGAGTAGTCATTTACTAACTATATCTGTGTAACGCAATCTGACGCAATTTAATAACAAAACAATACGAAACCATACAAATGGGCACACTTTGGTAAGACGATTGACGCCTTCAAACGAACGAAGTGAGTGGGTGTAACGGCATGTTGACATTTCACACTTTTACGTTTTGGCCAACAATTAATCTAAATTTTCAGCTTAAATGGTGTTTTAGAATCACACATTAGCCAACTAAAAGTAACTTGTTCAAGCTAGTCGGCAGTTTATATAAATAATGGGGAAAATTGGAGGAACTTGCATATCGACTACGTAGATTGTTGCCAAACGAAAGTATTTTTAGTATGTTACTGGTGTGACATTTTTGTTGCTCTTTAGATGTATTATATTTAGTAGTAGCGCGTTTCGGATCGCTTAAGAGTTTGTTTTGTAGTTTGGCTAACATATTTTATTATATTATTTTCTCTTTGGTATTCATATATCTTATTAAATCAATTTGTATTGAGTTTCTGAAACTGACCATAAAAAAATGTTCACTTCGGCTGCATTGAAGCTATAAAACCTTTCATAAAAAAATAAAGTTTCCATGCAAGAACTTGATTTTACTTGTATGAGTGCTATATGCTATAGTGGTCCGATCTGAACAAATTATTCAATGAATATTACCTGGACAGGGTATATTAAGTTGGCCACGCAGTTTGTAACACCCAAAGGAAGTATATATACAAATGATCAGCATGATGAGTTGAGTTGATTTGACCATGTCCGTCTGTCTGTAT